ATTTTCTGCAGGGATTAGCTAGCTGATGCCTTCCTTGTTAAAATCTACTCACTTAGAATTGTTTAAAATGGGAGATGGTTAGCTTGCACTCCCCCCAACTTCACTTGTAAAATAAACTGTTTCTTATAAACACATCCCAGGGACTGTAGAATTTTATGGTGACAATTTTGCAGAGAACAAGGAGGTTGGGAGTAGACAGTGTTTTGTTCTCCAGCCTACAGCTGGGAGATATGGAGACTGTCTCAGGTGGCCTTGAACTGTTCTGGGTGGAGCTCTGGACAGCATGGGAAAGTTGGGTTTGAAGGCTGTGTCCACTAAATAGCTGGCATCTTCTGGTTTTTCTGTTGTCTCTATTCACCTGAAGGTTGGTATATAAGAAGACCGTAAGCTTTCTTAGCATGGCTTGGGAACCCTGGACCTCCTATTGTCTTACCCAGGTCCTAAACTGGTGGGAATACAGACTCTGGCTATATCCTGCCAGCTGGCAGCCTTTGTATGGTACAGGGACATCTAGATCTCTCCACTAGATGCAGCTCTGCTCCCTTGGGCCTCTGAGCACAATGGCTCTGATCCGGTTTCTGGATGGGGCATTCATTATGTCTGTGAGTGCTCGCTCGCTCTCTCATGGTAGGAGGCTGTCTCATGTGTAGGTGGGAAGTTCAGCCAAGAACCCTGGGGATAGGTGGCCCATATCGGAATCAGGGTGTGGATTTTTCTCTCCGTATTTATTATTTTTTTTGAGTTCCCAAATAATTCAAAGTAGTTCCTTACTTACATGAAGCGAGGTCACTCAGGGCCACAGTGAATGTGTGGTCAGGACAGCGTTGTTTCTCATTGGCTCAGTACTGGGGGGATAGACAAGAGTCCCTTTCTGCACTCAAGACTAGTATTTAGCCACGGAGAGCTGCCTGGCTGGATGTCACACAGGTTGGGTTTCAAGTAGACTTAAGTAGGGGAGTAGATTAATGGATGACATTGCAGCCATCATCTCTCTCTGATGGACAGTTGCCTCACGGTTCTGCAAAGACAGTCAGACTCTCCTGCTTCAGTGAAACCATCTGTATAGACTGTCCCAGCCAAATGAAAACACTGTGCCTGTAACACGGGACCCAAGTGGAAGCTGTGGAGCCTGGCTCCTACTAGCTGGAGCATGGGCTTGTACATCCCTTGTGTCTTAGCCGCCCTGGTCTGTTTTTAGGGATGTAGACATGGAAGATAGGCTGGATAAACACTACCTCCAGGCTTGAGTCTACACAGAATTTCTCCAAGAAGTTCTATGTGGGACACAGGTCACATGTTGCAGAAAACCTGTAAGGGAAGTGGAGGCATAGGTGTCACAGGCCCAGGGAGCCTCTTGTTTCCTAGTAGGTTCTGAGTTCCTGGGGATGGGACCACATTGTCTTACCTGGCTTCTGTCCAGGCAGCAAGCCTATTTCCAGGATATCTGGGCCAGGCCTTCTCAATTATGTGGTCTTTAAACCTTCTCTGTCCCAAAGCCATGGCATTTCTTCAAACATGCCCCGGCATAGATAGACTAAAGTCAAACCTCCTAGGTCAAGGCCAATCTCTGGTCTCTTCTCTCCTTCATGGAGACAGTGGCTTGCCTGTCAGCAATGCTCTGTGATGTCCCTGGCTTGCCTCCATTCTCCTGAAGGCTCCCCACCTTCCTACGGAAGGATGTACCCACGTTTGGGAGGGCAACAAGCCTTTGTGCCTTCTGGATGGCCTTGTTTAGACGGTGGGTGCTTGGGAGAGGAGGTCATGGCTCCACAGCTTCACATGTTCCAGATCAGTGCCTTCAACAGAAGATCAACTGACGTCAGCTGGAAAAGGGTTGCAGCCGAATCTCTCTGGATAACCAGAAGCTCAGGCTGCTGCCCAGGCTGCTGGCCTTCCTGGAGCATGACTGACTGACCACCTTATCAGGTTACTTTGCTCCACTGGCTGAAAAAAGGTGAATGAGACGCAGTGGGGAAGATGTGTGTGGGGCTACAGTGAGGCGAGCTTCATGGTGCATCGGGATATGAAGCTTGTGGAAGGGAGGGGGTGAGGCAGAGCCAGGCTGAGAAGGCTTCTCGTCTCCGATGGGATATGGCGAACATGTTGAGGCAATTTGGAGAACCTTAGCCAGACACCTGAACACACTTGGCAGTCCCTCGAAGGATCTATCTGGGGATAAGGACATATGGATTGCAGCCCAAACCACCACCCCATGGAAACTCTAAATTTGGATGCTTCTAATTCTGTCCCAGCATGCTAGGGAGCTTAGTGGAGCCAGTTGAAAACAGCTGGATACCGCAGGCTGCTCGAGGCAGCTGGGTGTTATCCAGGACATTTTATGGAGAGTAGTGAACCTTAGAAGTGAGAGGCACATCTTTGAGGACCGTCTTCCTCGTTGTCCTTGGCACTGGGAGGTGTGGCTGAACCACTTGCTAGGCTGTGGACCCATGGCAGAGCTGGCCGGATGTGAGCGCTGTCTGTGTGCAGATAATTGACAAAGTCATTGACAGACAAGAGTGACTGAACTAGGAGTCAGCCTCTGGAGGAGGCTTTTGGTTTTAGTGAAGTCTGTGGTCAGAAAAGCAGAGCAGGAACCTTTGATGTTCAGGGGCTCGTTCCCTCTCATGTTAAAATTTTGATGTAAGCTTTCCAATAATTTGGGTGTTTCTGGAGTAAGACAAGGCTGCCTCTGCGATTGCCATCTCTTTACTTCCCCCACCCCAAGCCCAAAGTCTTACCCTCACTGCAGGTCTTTGTGTCTTTCTATGCATGCATTTGCATATAAAACACTCATAATTTTGTCTTTTCTCCAACATCAATGGGATTGTGCTGCGGGCAGCACATCTGCTTCTTTGCCTTTTGCTTAGCAGCACGCATTCATTTACTACCCTTGTTCTTAAATGATGCTCTGTATCCCTGCCCCCTCTCTTGCCACAGCTGTGTTGTATTCCACACGTTAGATGCACTCGCTAGTCTGCTATTGTTGGATATTTATGCTGCCAGCAATTTTCTCTGGTAAACAAATGCCACTTTAGTAGCTACCTAGGATGTGTGCTTGAGACCATGTGGGTATCTCAAGAAGAGGTTTGTGAACTTGTATAACCATAGAATAAAGTCATCATTCTGAGGCTCTGCTCTTCCATACCCCCATGCAGTTCTTACCCAGATGTGGTACACGAGAAGCCTCTGAAGTAAGTCTCATCCAGGCCTTCCCAGGGCTAGACTTTTGAGTGCTCGAAAATGAGGCCACATGCAGAGGGCACCCCATAAATCATTCTTCACCTCTGGCCTAAAGACAGCAGGGAAGGAACCAGGCTTGATTGCAGCCGTGGGTGGCTGGGCAGGGTGGGGAAACTTCTGTCTGGTCTCCTTGGTTGTCAGCCCTCCTTGTTGCCAGTATAGACAGACCTATCATCATGGCCAAGAGACCTTAACTTTGGACTCAAGGAGCAGGTTTGTATGAAAGTCTCTTTCCTCATGAACTTCCTGGGAATCCCCACTGTCTGCTGGAGGGAGTCCAGGGCCCCATGCAGGGCTTTCTGGGAGGTCAGTAGAGTCTCCCTTTTCCCCCACTGGCCTTCACTTTCAGATTTCTCTGAGAGCTTTGTCCAGGACTGGAGTCCAAGGACCATGAGTGGATGCCTCCCTCCCCCGCACTTGTTTCTGTCAAAAAGCTGAAGGTCATTTGCTGAGGGATAAGCAAGAAACAGAGGAGGGCTCTTTGCTTCAGTGAGGAGCAGACATCACCAGTGTTAAGAGGGCACACACCTGATGTCTTGCATAGGTGCTGTGACTACAGACCACACCCAGGCGACAGGCAGCTTCTGTTGCCCCTAAGAAGATGGATTGTCCTGTCATTGGGTCTTTTCTGGAATCATTCTTACTTGCTTCTAAAACCTAATGCATGAAAGATGACCAAGTGACGAAGGCCAGGCTGCGGGTGGCCCTTTGACATCTTCGCTTTTGTTTTCTTTAGTCCCTTGTTTAAAGCAGAAAGGGTCTGGTTGTTGCTTTCTGCCTGGTGTCCAGGAGCCTTCTGTAGCAGGGAGGGGTCATCCAGTCAGGGAGCAGTGGTCAGGCTGAGGTTCTCTGCTCCTGGACTGTGTGCTGTCCACCTTAGGTGACTGGTAGTCACAGCGCCAAGAGGAATCACCAGCTTCGGCTCAGTCCTTCAGAATGGGACGATAACAACTCCAACCCCTGCCCGAGACTTTCCACAGTGCCAAGGAACCTCAGAAGTAGGGACAGGCAGGAGGCTGGGGATCTGTACCTGCCCCTGAAATACCAATGGTTATGAAACCAAGGTTCTTTTCTCAATGGTAAAAACCAAAGGGCTAGCTGGGGTCCCCAAGCCCCTGCTACCACCTGCAGCTGCTCTAGAACCTGAAAAAAGCTGAGATTGGCAGATGCACACGAAACTGAGAGTTGATTCTGTCCTGCGAGGGACAGTGGAGGGATGCAGAAGGCAGATACATTCTCCTTCTGTCCCCTGTACTGAATGAGGACTTCTGGACCATTGCCAGCACTAGACACGCCTGAGCACTGCAAGCAAGGGAGGTAGGAGCTCGAGACTGCCTCTTGGTGTGGAGAGAACAGGAGGACATGTTCAGGACCCAAGGGCAAGCTGTCTAGGCTTGGGGCCAGTTCTTTCTTTTGGCTTTCAGCCTCCATAAGTGGATACTAAAGCCATAGGCTGAACCAGTAGGTCAAGGACAGGCTCACACCACTGCCAGTCAAGCATCCTTTGGTCCCAATGTTGTCCTTCCTTTATATGGTATAGGCCTGGTATGGTCTTTTCTCCAACATCTGATGCTCTCTAAAATCTCTGGGTCAGAGTAGAATGAGAGGCTCTATCCAAACTGAGTCTCTTGTAGTTTAGACTGGACTTCTTAGGTAGCTGAAGATGAACTTGAACTCACCATCTTCCTGCTTCCACATCCTGAGTGCTGGATGTATAGGTGTGTGCCACCATGTATCTTATTTTAATGCAATAGAATAAAAGGAAAAAAAAAAGATCCTTGCCCTGGAGTGGTGCAGGACAGAATTCTTGCTTTGGTTCCTTCCCAGTCATGAGTTCAGAGTGGAGAGTCAGTGCCAGTGTGTGTGTGTGTGTGTGTGTGTGTGTGTGTGTCTGTCTGCCTACCTGCCTGCCTGTGTCATATGTGTCTGTGTGTGTGTATGTGTGTGTTGTGTGTGTCTCTGTTTGTATCTCTGTGTGTAGCAGTTCTATTTCCTGGGGTTAGTACTATTTCCAGAGGCCATTCTAGTAGGTTTCAGAGGCCCCATCATTTGGAAAGTGCTCTCTGCAGCCCTGACAGCTGGTGCCCTCTTGTAGTTCTCAAGACTGTGACGAAGGACAGAAGTGGCACCTTCTAAAGTGCATGAACTCTGGGTTCACATGCCAGGACATCTCTGAGGGCCATCATCCTCTCCTACCATGGGGGATCCTCTGAATGGGAAGGGGGTGAAGCTGTCACAGAAGGCTAGATCCTCTATCGCAGTTGAGGACACAGTCTAGTTAGGTTACTAGGAAGACCCCTGAGAGCTTGTAGGCAATCTTCTTTAACTGAGACTTAGGAGTGGGTCACATGTAGGTTGGGGACTTGGGGTGATCATGGGTGGCATTAGATGTCATCTACTTTCAAGATCCCACTGCTGTTGTCTTGAAGGAGAAAGACTTCTGACTAGCTGTTACACACCAGCTCTTGACTTCTCTTCTGCTGGGTCCTTAATACTCTCAGAGCACATTGCTGGCATTCCAGCTAGTGAGGCTGGGCTTTCCTAAAGGGAGTAATTGGCCACTTCAAACTAGACCATCCTCTGTTCTCTCATCCTGGAAGGTGCTGGAGGGGAAGTTTCGTGGAGTAACTGCTGCTTCCCAGATTCTGGGTTGTGCCCTTCTGCCCTGGGGCAGCAGTCACAGGTGGTTAAATTGTACCTTACACATGACTGAGAAACCATAATTCCAACCCAGGAATGTGCAAATCCTGGATTTGGTGGTTTCTCATACCTTGGGGTTAGCCACCGAGGCACTGACCCACTAACTGCTGTCCCATGGGAGTTCTCATGCATAACCTGGAGTCCATCCCAAATGAACCTGAAAGACAAGCTTGGCTGTATTTCAGCCATTACCAGTGATAGGTGCCATCATGAGACCGGACGTCTCTCCATTCTAGACATGCAGTGTGGGTTGGATGGGGGGGATGGCAAGGGCAATTGGCCTCAGAATCATGAACAGATGGGCAATAGAAAACAGCTCCAGGCTACAGTGTATGTGGAGAAATCACCCCAGTGCTACCCTGGAGCCAAATTCTCACTAGGTGTGACGTGATGACAGCTAAGAGTGGTGGCCTCAGGTCAGGCAGGTCAGCAGGGACGTCAATCAACAGGGCTCATCAACCCTCCAGAGATACAGCAGGTGGCTGGTGGTTTATGCACTTCCAGTCTTGGCTCACAACACTTTTGAGTCAGTTGAGTGAGCAAGGAATGGGAACCCAGGCGAAGGCTGAGAGCTTGAGGCAGCTGGCTGGTCGCCCTCAGTTGAAAACCCCCAGCAAGCCCAGAGTCTGCAAGTTTGGGGTATAATCATGTGGCAATGCATTCCACACAGGCTGGCACTCGAGGGAGGCAGAGGACCCGGAGAGGATCCAGGTGAGCAGTTGGATATTGCAAAAAGGGCTAAAGAAACAGTGTCCCATTTTAAATGCAAATCGGGAGAGGATTTGAAGTGCTTCCATTAAGACACCAAAGCAACACACTTGTAATTCTCATGCCAGGAGCAAATCAATCCTGCCTCTCTTGGGAATGTCAGTAAAATGGCTTTGTGGACTCCTGCTGAGTACAGGCAGGCCAGCAACATTGCTGCGGCCATGGCCCTACAGTCTGACATTTCTTTGGACCCTGTATCATGTTGATTTCACACCTAGGACACAGCCAAGCTGATGCCTCGATAACACAGCCATGAAAAGCCACAGAAAACAAACACAGCCCCTCCTAAGCACCATGTAGCCATAGCTGGGGTGTGTTTGATTTTCTTTCTTTCAGTCTAAGATGGTTATTTTCTTTTCTGCTTTCTTTGTGATGACAACACAGAGCAAAAGCAAAACATATGGGCATCATCAGTGCCCTAGCAGAGTGTTTTGACTGAGACCTGAGTTCTTGCTAGTCAAATGATCTGTGCATCTCTCCTGTTTGCCTTTGCTGTAGGTCACTTGGTCATTCTCCTCAAGACCATGGATGTACATCTGTTTGACTATTCAGAGCCTGGGAACTACTCTGACATCAACTGGCCATGTAACAGCAGTGACTGCATCGTGGTGGACACAGTGCAGTGTCCCACCATGCCCAACAAGAATGTGCTTCTGTACAGCCTCTCCTTCATCTACATTTTCATCTTCGTGATTGGCATGATTGCCAACTCTGTGGTGGTCTGGGTGAATATCCAGGCCAAGACCACAGGCTACGACACACACTGCTACATCTTGAACCTGGCTATTGCAGACCTGTGGGTTGTCATTACCATCCCTGTCTGGGTGGTCAGTCTCGTGCAGCATAACCAGTGGCCCATGGGTGAGCTCACGTGCAAGATCACACACCTCATTTTCTCCATCAACCTCTTCGGGAGCATCTTCTTCCTAGCATGCATGAGCGTGGACCGCTATCTCTCCATCACCTACTTCACCAGTACCTCCAGCTATAAGAAGAAGATGGTACGCCGAGTTGTCTGCGTCTTGGTGTGGCTGCTGGCCTTCTTTGTATCTCTGCCTGATACCTACTACCTGAAGACGGTCACATCTGCTTCCAACAATGAGACCTACTGCAGGTCCTTCTACCCCGAGCACAGCATCAAGGAGTGGCTGATTGGCATGGAGCTGGTCTCTGTCATCTTGGGTTTTGCTGTCCCCTTCACCATCATTGCTATCTTCTACTTCCTGCTCGCCAGAGCCATGTCAGCATCAGGCGACCAGGAGAAGCACAGCAGCCGGAAGATCATCTTCTCCTACGTGGTGGTCTTCCTGGTGTGTTGGCTGCCGTACCATTTCGTGGTTCTGCTGGACATCTTCTCCATCTTGCACTATATCCCATTCACCTGCCAGCTGGAGAATGTGCTCTTTACAGCACTGCACGTCACACAATGTCTGTCCCTGGTGCACTGCTGTGTCAACCCTGTGCTCTACAGTTTCATCAACCGCAACTACAGGTACGAGCTGATGAAGGCCTTCATCTTCAAGTACTCAGCCAAAACGGGCCTCACCAAACTCATTGATGCCTCTAGAGTGTCAGAGACAGAGTACTCTGCCCTGGAACAGAACACCAAGTGATCACTCTGCAGAGGCGTGGAGACATGTGCATGTTGCAAGTGGGGCGGCTGGGCCCTGTGGTTTCTTCAAGAAAGCAATGTAGCTTTGGGTCTGGTTGCTTGAGTAGTATGAAGAGGAGAAAGCATGTGACCATGCTTCCTGTGTCTCATTCTCCATCCAAGATGGCTGTCGCCTGGATGCTCATCCTGACAGCTTGCAGCCTGCAGGGCTGGGATACTCTGTGCTGTGCAGCCAGAGCTGTGTATCAAAGCCAGCATCAGGACAGACTCTTATGGACATGTGTACTATAGAATATTCTGTGTTTCCTCAAGTTTTTACTTGGTGACTTTTGTATTTAAGTTTTAAGACTTTATTTTCTCACTATGGATGTACCTTATAAATGTATTTGAAAGCTAAATATATTTTAAATATTGTATGAGAGGTGTAAGGCTGTTGTATTCAGACCATGTAGGCCTCAGATTAGCTGGACTTGAGTTTTGACTAAGGATGACATTAATTGTTAGCTGATTTGAAATTATATATATATATAAAATATAAATATATATATAAATTTATGCCAGTCTCGGCTGAAAGGTTTTATTTGCAATAGTTTTATATCTGTGTGGTGTTCAATGCTGGCACAGCATATGGAACAAAAACTGCCCAGCAATGCAGTTTGTGACATGAACCATATTGTAGAGTTACATTTCGGGTTGCAAACCCGTGAACAAAGGAAACGGAGCATTCTCTCGATTTGTAAGTTATTTTTTTAATAAAGATTTTTGTTTCCTAAAACCACATGTGTGCTTCAGTTTTGAAAGCATGCTCGGACTTTGGATGGCTTGCGTGATACTAACACAAAGAAAGGCATGTCAGACACACACAAGAAGAATTAATATGTTCAATGAGAGAGAACCACCCAGAAAGCCCAACCATGGGCCCCAGGTGGATTGATTGGTACAACAGTGGCATCTGAGCAGGGTGAGTGCTATTCCTTTCTTCTTGAAGGAACATTTTCAAGAACAGGGGAGGATGAGCAGGTCAGGAGTAGATGCAATTCAATGGCTGTTAAGAGAAGATGTGCTGCCCATTGTCTACCCAGGAGCCCATGTCCTTGTCTTAACAACCCCCTTCCTGCCATCTTCCCCAGCCATGTGTCCATCAGACCTTGCAGCTGAGGGCATGAGCTTAGGTGTCAGTGAGCTCTGCGTGCTGTGTGACTCCCCAAGTACAAAGCACCTTCAGGCCCAGCGTTCTGGAGGCAGAGGCAGGTAGGTCTCTGTGAGTTTGAGACCAGGGCCAACCTGATCTACACAGTGAGTTTCAGACTAGCCAGGACTATGTAGTAAGTCTGTGTCTCAAAAAATGGCTTTGGATCCCTCCCAAGTGAATGCAGGGTATAAGTTCCAGGCCTGTGCATTATTTTATGCTACTATGAATTTGAAAGTGTCCTAAAGCTACCTTTACCTGTTCCAGCTCCGAGGATAACCTGTGTGGGGGCTGCTAGCCCATGCACAGATAGATCAAAGCCAGAAGCGCTGATCTGGAGAGCCTGCAGCTGCCCTTCTGTAGGAAAGCCCCTGTGCACATGGGGTTTCCCCCATCCACACCCAGGGGCCTTAGAGGTCCCTAGGGGCATACGGACCATGTCAGCTGCAGGGTACCAATATCCTGTAAAGGGCTTCATGCCTGAGAATTTTACCCTAGGGCTGTAACTTGTATTAATACCTGCTACATCCTTTGGTGTTTAAACAACTGGCCTTGATCCAAAGTACATTCTGCTTAGATAGCAATAATATACACCATGAGATAATAGGCAAATTTACTGACAAGGGGGAATAAGGAAAAATGGCCATACAAAGTCAGGGAAAATTCCAACCCAGTGCGGGGCCCTGACAACGAGCAGGAGCCTCATGGCTTCTCTGAGGTTTCAAGTGGTTCAAATGAGCCGAAACACTCCCCAACCAGTAATCTCGAGGGGCAGGTTGCGGGGTGGGGGGGGGAAGGTCTGTAGCTTAGCCCTGCATTCAGTGGAAATACTCAACATAACTCACCTCTAGCTTTGAGCATCTGAGGGCTCAGTTGGCCACAGAGGACCACCTGCCTTTGTCTAGAACACTGGCTAAGTCATAGGTGGCTGTACCTTGCTGGGGTAGGTAGGGGTCCTGGATGGTCATCTGTCCATGATGATACCTGATATACCCTTTCTGCCTGGTCCACAGGCACATCTCCTGTGTCAGCCTTAGCCCAGTAGCTCCTGCTGCTAATTCATTGTTCTATGGGCCCCTGGGGGTGTTGGTGGGACTTCTTGGTCCTTTCTACTTTTATTTTATTTTATTTTATTTTATTTTATTTTATTTTATTTTATTTTATTTTATTTTATTTTATTTTATTTTAT